TTAAAGAAATTTAAAAACATATAAAATATATTTAATATGAGATTAATGTTTATATTAATGTTTATTAATTGGATTTGTAGAAGAAATGAGGTAAAAAATATTTAAAATTATATTATTTTAATACAGTAATATAAAAAGATTAAAATAGTCGATTTGTTGTTTTAAAAAAATTAAAAAATTAAAATATTTTAGGTTTTTAATAAAAACTAATTAAAGTGACATAATTTTGATTTTTTTAAATTTTTTATATGTATAGTTGATAAACAATTTTTTCATCTACTATATGTAAGGGATTTATGTATTATAATATAGAGTATACATTAACAGTGTAATCTGTCTTATAAATTTATTAAAATTCTTTTAATAAAATAACATAAGAAATAATTTTATTAAAATATTTTAATAATTCGTAAGGCAAACTACACTTTAAATATACAATTTATTTTATAAAATATTTTTTTATGGTTAATACTATTTATTTATTAATATTTTTATATAATTTTAAGATAAAAAAATAAAGAAAAAGAAAAAAAATCATAAATTAGAGCTCAAAAAAACATTCCCAAAAACTAAGCTTAAAAGAGTTTCCTAGTATGGTAAGCTAGAACGATAGACATGAAATGCCAAAGCAATGTGAGAAAATATGATATAATTACAATCTCATTGTAAATTTAAAATGTTGGCATTTTATTATATTAATTAATGGCTCTTTTAATTCAAAAATTTATTTTTAATATTTTATGTATTTACTTACTTAATAATATATTAGCATTTTAATAAAAACATAATGTAATTATAATATCACAATCACAGTTTGGTAAATTTAAAATTGTAATGTTTTAATAGATAATTAATAGGTTTAAGTACCATTTTGGTCTCTCAACTTTTCATTTTGACACCAAAATTGTCCTTCAACATTAAAAAGTATTAAAATTATCTTGAAACTTTCATTTTCAGTACCAAAACAATCCTTCCGTCAGTTAAATGAAAGGTGACACGTTAATTTACCAACAAATCATTTTTTTTTTATTGAACTAGTGACATGAAAAAAAAAAAAACATAGTTGGCAACTTTTTTTTATGAGTTAGTCATTTTTATTTAGTTTTAAAATAATAATGTTTTTTTTTTCCACCCGCATCATCTGTTCTTTCTATTTCACTTTCTCTCTCCTTTTTCCTTTACCTCTGCAAACCTAGATTGGGTTCTCTCTGAAACTTCATCTTCTTCCTCATTTCCTCCTCCCTGCTCATCCTTCTTCTTTCTTCTTCTTCTTATTCTTTCTCTCTCTCTCTTCTCCCTTCTTCTTCTTCTCCAAATCTGGTTTTTCTCAAGCTTAGATCTGGGTTTTTCTCAAACATCGCACTCAGATTTTGCTATGAGTGCTATTTAACTAGAACCTTCCTTTCCTCTCAACCCCCTATATTTGTACCCATGGGTGCTTGTGCTTTACTCGTGTCAATCGTCACTACCATCCTCACTAATTTTTAGCTACCTCCAAAGAGAGTAACTGAAATGTTGAATTCTATCCCTTTAGATCGGAAGAAAATGTGATTTCGAGCCCAATCATATGAAATTCTTCATGGAAGTGCAGATTTGTTTGCTTTTGATCCAATTATCTGATTGTTTTTTAATATGGGTTTTGCAGAATCGAGAAGATGACGAAAGAACTACCCCACTGTTAGCGAGAAAGGCGCTGGACACCTTCAGCCGTTTCCTTGAGCTTGGCCGGATCAAAATGACCTGAAGAATTAGTGACAACCAAACCAAACCAAATGCTTAGTAAAAACATAGAAACAAATTTTTGAAAAGAGGTGTATAGATGGCAACCTATGGCCCACTGTAACATGCTGTTGAGGGAGGAAAAGCCACCATCAAGGTCGTCAACGGCGGCGGAGGTGGGGGTATAGGAAGTAGAATCATGGTTGGAATCGTTGGACTTTTGCAGCAAATCTTTCTCCTCTTTGGCCGTGGACCAAAATAAGGAGCCCGGAGAGGAGGCATTCTGTGGCTCTGGCACAGCCACTGCCATGGCCATAGCCAATAGTAACAATACTCCGACTAAAGCTGAAATCCGCCCCATCTACAAATTCAATTCAAAATGGTAATTTAGAAGCTAAAAATCCAAATTGTTCCAAAGCTAATTTGCTTTTGGCTCAGGTTTGTTCCGTTTTTTTATACCTTTTTTTATATATATACTAGAGGTTTTTACATATGTACCTAGGATCAATGTGTGTTAGCTTTGTTTCTACATCATGATTTTGGTTGTGTGATGTGAGATTGTGTGATGTAATACTTAATCGTTGGAGTTTGAAGAGCAGAATCTAAGTGTGATGTTTGAGAAAAACCCAGATTTGGGTTTGAGAAAAACCCAGATTTGGAGAGAAAGAAGGGAGAAGAGAGAGAGAGAAAAAGAATAAGAAGAAGAAAGAAGAAGGATGAGTAGGGAAAGTAAGGAGGAAAGGAGGAAGAAGATGAAGTTTGAAAGAGAACCCAGATCTAGGTTTGCAGGGGCAAGGGAAAAGGGAAAGGTAAAGGAGAGAGAAAGTGAAAGAGGAAGAACTAGCCTCCAGATCCGATCGAACCCACACTTCGTGAAGAAGAACTAGCCTCCATAAATCTTGCTGGGGATTATGTTTGGCAAAGAAAGAAGAAAAAAAAAGGATTCTAGGGTTTCACAAGTCATGGAAGAGAGAGAGAGAGTTTGCTGGGGGTGGGGTGGGGAACTCAATTGAAACTGAAAAAAAAAAAAAAAACAATATAATATAAATCTCATGTGGGACTCATAAAAAGTGAATCTGAAAAGGAGAAGCAATCTGACATGTGAAAAAATTGTCACAGTGATAAAATTTCTTCGTTGGATTTACATGTTATTAAGATTCAAAAAAAGTCAGTGATTTTGTAGCATCTTAACGTGCCACCTATTCACTTAATTGATGGAAGAATCATTTTGGTACCGAAAATAAAAGTTTAAAGATAATTTTGATATTTTTTAAAATTAAAAAATAATTTTAATACTAAAGTGAAAAGTTGAGGGATCAAAATAATACTTTAACTTAATTAATACTTTTTATTAAAAATATATAAATCTATGAAATATTATTTTAATTATATTGTTGCCATTTAATATTATCTGCTAAGGTGGCTGCACTCTGCCGAAATGACAATTTTTTTAAACCTTTTTGAAGGATCTCCATGTATGGTATATATGGTAATGGTATGTACATATACTTTTAGTAAGTATAAGTTTGACTCTGCATGGTGCAAATTAAGGGCTGATTGTTTCTCATTAGGATGTTTCTCTAGACTCTAGTCTAGCCCCAACTCCACTCCCTTTCATTTGAGGTGGATTATTAAAGATAAGATGACAACAAACCCCAAAATCCCAGCAGCCATGCAATTGTACATTTTATTTAGTCTCACCAGAGCACTGAAAGTAGGCGTGTCCCTGTTAGGGCTGGGTATTTGGTTCGGATTGTCCAAACCAAACTGAATTTTTGGTTATTTAAAATAATTTTGGATAAGATTTTTATACTCAATTTGAACTAAATTTTTAATTCAACTATAATTTTGATTGTTTAATATTATTTGGATAATTTAATTAATTAACCAAAATAACTGAAATATATTATTATTCTTCTTCTTTTTTTCTCATTAAAAGCTTTTTTTTTTTAATTTTGATTATTTTGAGTCTTTTTTTTTCCTATTCCTATATATATATTTGACTAAAGAAGAATTTTTTTCCCAAATAATTTTATATAGCACAAAAATTAAAATAAAAAATAAAATAAATTTACACTAAAAATTTTCAAATAATTTTGAATAGTTTGATGGGTCATATCGATAATTTCAAATATGAGTCAATAACTATATATGAATCAAAATTAATTTTGATTATTTTAATTTTATTCAAATTTATTCAAACATCGAAAATAGCCAAACCAAAATTAGAAAATTTAGATTAAAAATTCGGATAGTACAATAATATCGGAAATGTGCACACCTCTGGTCCATGGAAAAATGGAAGGCTTTAAACTCAGTCTCACCAGGGCTGATTCTTTCTCATTAGGATGTTTGGGCCATGTTATGCATTCTTGATTTGGGCTTGGCCCTTTCTCAGCGTAAGTTCAAATTTAACTCCATTATAGGCTATAGCCCAACACATTTCCTCCATTTTCTACTCTAAATCGTTGGGCACTTAAGCCCAAACCGAGTTTAGCTTGGGCTTGGTCGGTTAAAGGTTTTGAACTTGAGCAATAACTTGAGTGAAGCGTATCTCGAGCTCGGCTCAGAAAAAGTTGAGTCCACTAAGTTCTAGCTCAATTGGTAAGGTGAAAATTCCATCTTTTCCCTTTTTTTTTAAAAAAAAAAAAAAAAAAAGAAGAAAAAAGACAAACGAGAACAAGCATTTAAATTCAGAACAAAGGGTAAAGAACAGGTTTCTTAATCATAACATAAGCATCAACATTTAAACAATATTTCATTTCTAAATCACCAACGCAATCAATAGCAGCAAATAACAGAATAAACGAAGACAGGATATTGAAAATGCCATTGGCAGATATATTGGACAGAAGACCCTCTCAATCATTGGATTAGGATTTAGAAAGGAACCCTTTGAGAATGGGGAGTACTTCTTTATTTAGTAGTTATTGTATTGTAGTTTAATATAATTTAAACTATAAAATATTAATTTTTTTTTTATTTTTCTCCTATAATACTTGTCTACAACAAATGGCCTTTTCTTTTGCCAGTTTAATTTTGTGAGGAGGCCTTGATTTATTTAAATCTTAGTTTCAACTCATTTAGATTACACATTAATTAATTAAAGCAATTATTGGACCAGAGAAAGTGTAGTAAGTTTTCTTCCATCTCAAGCTAAGCTAGTTGTCTTCTATTTCTTAGGGAATAATTAAAAAGCCACGATTGATGATAATTGGAGAATCTAGAGCTTGGAGGGTTTAATATAGTAATAATAAATTATTATTTTTCTTTAAATTGCTCAAGGTAAAACTTTTTCTATCAATTTTAAGTTTTTAACTCAAATGCTAACAATGTAAATAATTAATAGTAATCTCTTTCTTATAAAAATAAAAATTTTTGACTTTAAGTAATAAGGTATTTTAGTGGGGTGAGTTAAGAGATACTTAAGGGTTATTTTTTATTATACAATTTAAAATATAAAAAAAAAAAAAAAAAAAAAACTCAACCAAAATACCAAGCAATTTGAGTCAAACTTAAAATCTATTACTTTAATTAAAAAGTGATATTATGATCACTAGTCCACTTAATTGTAATTAATATCTTATCTAGATAATTTTAATTCACCTATCATGACCTATATATATATATATATATATCCAGTTTCTAAAGCATTTGATCAGAGACGAACTTCATTGATAACTTTAATAACGCATAAGTATATATTTTGTTCAAGATATCTTGTAAATGAATATAAATTTTTTAATCTTCAATTATATAATAAAAGACAAGCCTTTTACTTTTTCTAAACTTACCCCACTCTATTCGCAACTCATTCAATTAAAATTTAAAATTTTTTACTTTCATTAAAAAAGATATGAGATTAGTGTTTGTCCACTTTACCTCAAAAAAATTAAGAGAAAAATTATTTCAAAACTACGTCGTTTTAATAAAATATTATAGAAAAGTACAAAAAATACCATAATTCATGCTTTACAAATAGAATATTTTAATTTTTTTTAAAAGTGTTTATTAAAATGACATAGTTTTGGAATAATATTTCTCTTAATTTTTAAGAAGTAAGACGGATAAGCACTATTCTTAAAAGATATTACAACTGAATTACTTATAAATAAATATTGAGATACTTGTATACATGTGACAAAATAATTAATTGAAAATTAATTAACCAAAACTTAGGCGGAAAGCCATATAGAATTATTGAATTTAACATCAATAAATGGGTCCATCTAAATATAAATATTGAAATTTATGTATATTACGCGACCTTAAGACACGCAATTAAGGGTATAATCAGTCCTGAAAAGAGGGGAGGATGGAATGAGACTGCTAAGGACTACTACTGCCTAAGCACTGCAATTGCGATTCACAATCAATGGGATGGGACAAAGACAAATTTTAACATCAACCTTCAAACCTCAATCCATTAATAGTCATCCTGTGGGATTGCTTGCTGCATGTTTTGCGCACCTCACGACTTGATTTGTCCATATATTATACGAAAATAATATAATTATAACAATATGTGATATTACAAATTTACAACATTACGTATCCTTATATAATTGATTTTTTTTTTCATTTAAGAATCCATTTATAAAATTGTATATGTCCATTAGTTTAAAGTTACATTATATTTATTTAATACCACGTTATATGATTGTAAATTTACAATCTTAGATAACATTGAAATTATGGTATTATCATTGATATATATTATATGCATGGTTCCTTCCCTCTGTCTATGTATATATGCACATTGCATTTAGCAGCAATATTGCTTGCTTCAGTCAGCGTTAACTTCTCTCTCCTCTCTTCCGAATTAGCTAGGGAGGAGGAAGAAGAACCATCCATCCATCCAATCAAAACATGGCTCTGTCTCTAAGATGGCTTCTTCAGTCAGCATGTCATGTTTTGGGAAGCCCCAACAATGCGAAGATTGAAGATGGAGGGTTGAATAAGACGTCCAACTCCAAGAATATTATGCAAACGTCGACTGTTAGTTTCCAGATGCCTCTTCACTATCCTCGTTACACCAAGGCAGACTATGAGAAGATGGAGGAGTAGAAGCTGGACTTGCTCCTCACACAATATGGCCTCACTTACAGTGGCGCCCTTGATGAGAAGAGAGCTTTTGCCATGGGAGCATTCCTCTGGCCTAATCAGTATTGAACATTCCGAATTAATATCAATGCTAGCTGCACCATATATGTTCATCTATATATATATAGATATATATAATATTATGGCATGTATCAGCATATGTATCTTTTTTTCATTGTGAGATGATCAAATACAATAACAGTGGTGTTGTTGCAGCCTGCAGGAATGTAATTGTATGACAGTGATGTATGACGTATCAATGCTTAAGCATTTCCCCCTGTTTCTATCTACAGCAATTAAGGTAAGATGGTAATATGTATGCAAGTTTAATTTTGTGAAAGGTAATTTAGATTAATTATTTCTAGAAGGTAACTGTATGGAAACTTCTATTCTTTGCCCTTACTTGGATTCAATCTCCATGGCCATTACGACAACTAATTCCAATGGCCAACTAATTCCAGGGCCGATCAAGAAAAAGAAAAAAAAAAAAACATTCTAGGACCAGGTTAGAAACAGGATAGGTCATAAGCATGAGAATTAGTTTAATATTCAATATCTTTTTACTGATTAAATAGAAGTAGCAACAAGCCCTCTACAGATATTTTCTGAAATTAAATAGAATATTTGAAATTTCTAAAGGTGAACAATTTAAGTTATCTGAAAAACCTCTGCGAAATTATAGATATCATCATATCCAGAAAGACCCATAAACACTATGATTTCATTGAAAATGATGCCTAGATTTTAGTCCATAGGCAAATTGTAAAAAGAAAATGATTCATACACTACTGCATAATTTTACTTTACTAGAGTTTCTCATTGATAGAAAGTATTTACATATAACTATGATTTGCCTTTCAAGTTGGATTTGTGTGTTTGTGATTTAATTATTTTGCATGTTGGGAGAATTCTGAATCATATTCATGATATGATATGGAGTACCTCTTGTATTCTTATTTAATATAAATTTCATCTTATTGGGTGATAGAACATATATATAAATATATATAGTGCGAAAATGTTCATTAGATTATTCTTAATAAAAATTGGAGCCCTTCATTCAACGGCACTGTTTCATTAAAGATTAATCCCCAACCTCTACTATTCTCCCCCCTTTTGCCACTAAAATTCTCCATCTCCATGCCTCCTGTGATTCATCATCTCCATGCCTCCTACAATTCAATCAATTTGTGCAACACAATCCACGGCGAGCCCATAAAAGATCAACAATGGAAATAAGACCCATCTATCTATCTATTTATTTATCTCTTGTTTCTCTTCGGTTTTCTCTCTCTAATTCTTAGTATACAAGAGTTATTAAAGACCAACAATGGAGGGCTTAAAGCCAACAAAGCAGAGGTCCAGTTTTGGGCTCCAAACGACTATGGTTTGTAGAGAGAAGTTTCATAACACAAGGTCAAAGATATCCAATTTTATGGGCAATGATATTATGCATCATGATATTAAGGCTGTTTCATGAAGTTTTCCTTTGATTCCTTCTCTGTTACTTTCGCTGTGGTTCTTGTTAAACAAATTGAATGAATTGCAGGAGGAGGTGCGGGGATGATGAATTGTAGGAAGCGTTAAGATTAATCTTTAATGAAACAGTGTCATTGCAGTGTGGGAGTTTGATTTTTATTGAGAATTGAGATTGATATGTATTTTTTGTATGTCTATATATATATATATGAAAAAAAAAAACATATCAATCTTAATTCTAAAAAATTATTAGAATTTTAATTTTTAAATTAGATCATTTTATTTAACTAAAGGTCTATTCTTACTTTTTTTTCACCATTTGCAAGTATTCTGCTCCCCGCAACCAGGTATAATGACAGAATTAAGAAAGACAAATGTTGATACTCTGTTATTATGCAAAATATGTTAGTGCTTTGTACTTAAGGAGTGTCAGAAAAGGGTATTTTGTTCCCTTGTTGCTATCAAAAGAGAGAATTGTTGAGGATAAGCATTTGCAAAACGGCTGAATTGAATTGTTGAGGATAAGCATTTGCAAAAGGGCTGAATTGTTAATTTGTAGAAGGGGGTCGTCACTATTCCCGTCAATGAGAAATAAGGGTTGAAATTATATGATGAAATTTAATTATTAAATAAAATAAAATAATTTAAAAATTAAAACTTTAATAATTTTAAAAAATTAAGATTGATGTGTACCATCATCTTTATATGACCATTGTAAGAATTCATTCTAAATACATTTGTGAGCATATCAATTCCAAATCCAATCTTTCAAAAGAATAGACAAAGAAAAATCTATCTCTAGTTAGCATTTTAATTGTATATATAGTTTTCATTTATCCAACCCCTTTGTTTATTTCATGGTAATTATGCCATGCAATAAGAATCAACTTACCAGTGAAAAACACAAGTCCTTGGACCCTTGTTTCTTCTTTTTCTTCCTCTGGTTCACTCTACGTTTCCGTTTCCCTCGCTTCAGAAAATTCCACGTGTTAAGGATTGGACTTTATTGCATTGGGCCAATAGGTCTGGGCAAAGTTCTTCATGGGCTTGGTGAGATGTCCAATTATAAACTCAAAAGCAGAAAGGACAAACTCCAAATAAGCCCACTCTCAGCTTGTTTAGAATTGAGCCCCCTATAAATAAGGGCAAAAAGTGCAGATCACCCCCTAAACTCAACAACTGGTGGCAAATCACCCCCTCAACTCACTTCATGCGCAAATCAACCCCTCAACTCACCTGCAGTGGCAAATCAACCCCTCTCTTAACGTTTCTGTTAACATTTAACAGTTTGCTCATCAGCCCTTTCTCTGGGTCTGACGTGGCCTTGTTTTTGCTGAGATAAATGCTGAGATGGAGGTGCCACCTAGACAAATACCCCATAATCATCAAATTATGCAAATTACTTTTATGCCCTTAAATTGTTTAGGGAAATAAAATTGGGGATCTGGGGGTCTGGGGTTTTACTTCTGCTAGCTTCCATCGTCTTCTTCCCTTCCTCGTCCTTTCAAAAATTGAACACTATTTCTTTAAGATCTGCAATTCATCGAGCGTCGCTTCTTCATCAAGCTCTGAATTGTCAATGAAATTACCATATTTTGAAGAGACATTACTATACAATTTTCTTCAAAATTTGAGGGTCTCGGAGTCGGCCCTCTTGATGATTGAACAGGGTATAAATCGACTGGACCAAAGTTGGACTGTCTTCTTGGAACCCCTGAATTCCCATCATGGAATAGAAATCGGAATGGCTGAAATTCGAACCTCTGGGCGTTGGATTCCGGGATGAACTTAAGCTTGTATATCTCAACACCGGTAAGATTGGATGGCCGTGGCGTCATTGCGAAGGAACGGCGAGAAGCGTTTGATTTCCTCAAAGTGACATGAAGCTTCCCGTCTTCTACAATTGCAGCGTCGTTTCCAGAAATTCCCGTCCATGGAGTGAGACAACGTCAGAATCCACCTTGAAGGAGACAATCGAGCGGCAGTCTTCGAGAACTGCTCCATGATCAGGATCTTGGCACCACGATACTCGAAGAGAAAAAGAAGCAGAGTGTACCAGATGATGCATTGGAGAACCGCCACCTGGACCATAAGGCTGCCGGAGTCGTGGCCGTACATGGCGATCAAACAGTGGAATGCCTATGACCAGACTATTGGGCAGAGTAGAGAGTGAGAAAATGGTTATCATCCACTCCAAGCTTTCGTTCCTAGTGAAATTCGTCCACACCATAAGGAAGACAAGCATGATAATCTTCTGAAGTGTATCGGCGACAACGAACCTGTAATTCATTTTGTATGGATTGTTGGTGGAAATAAAGTGAAAAGACGAGCGGGACAGTGAAAATCGCGACGAAACAGTTGATGCCGGAGAACTGGTCCGGTGAGAAAATCTTCCACCAACGAATCAACCCGTATGCCAAGATCATCGCTACGTAAAGTGGAATCACCGCCTTCAAGACGGTGGACAAATCCTTCCGAGAAATCATTTTTCACAAAAAAAAAAGAAAAAGAAAAAAGAAAAAAGATTTTTTGTTAGCAAAGATTTTTTTTTTTTTTTTGCTGAAAACCTGTTAACAAAGATTAAAACTTTGAAACCCAAAAAAAAAATAATAATAAAACCACGTCAGACGCAGAGGGGCTTATGAGCGGATCGTTAAAAGTTAACAGATGATGATGTCAGCTTAATAGAGGGGCTGATTTGCCACTGTAGGTGAGTTGAGGGGTTGATTTGCGCGTGAAGTGAGTTGAGGGGTTGATTTGCCACCAGTTGATGAGTTAAGGGGGTGATCTGCACCTTTTGCCATAAATAAGCCTATAAACTTCTCCAGTTGAGGGCTTATTTGCCACTAAAGGAACTAATAAGGTTCAATAAACCAAAATAATTTAACATTTGTCAATTAATTTTGATCCTTTTTAGGTAGCTGAAATGGGGCATTTTTAATGCAGAATGTGGGTCTTAAAACCCAATATTGTTCTCAATGATCCTTTGAGTTTCCATCTTCCTTATTCTGCTTCAACATTGTTCTTTATAAGAATAGAATGTTTCCATGGTCATATCTTTCAGATCTTCAATGGGGTTTGCTAGCTACATCTGCCTTTTGTTTTGACACTCCAATATTCACAGGAATATTGGCTTCCTCTGAGGTAAAGCAAAAACTTTTGGTTTTTCACTTCATTTGCATGCTTAATTACCATGTTTTATAGCTAGGCTGCTCTTTCAGGATCATAATTGGTTTTGTATGTTGCCATTATTGATCTCTTTTGTACTTAATTTGCTTAACATCACGATGGCCAATAATGAGGGAGGTTAGCAAGTCTTTGCCCCCTTTTTCATTTTTTTTCACTTACGGGAAACATTCTTCAATAAATCTCATGATCTCATCCACAAGAAATTCTTCAAACATAGGCATTCTCTCTAATTGATGAAGGATTTATTTATTTTTTAAAATAATTAACTATGATATTTTCAAATATATATTTATAAATTAATTTTAATATATTAAATAAAAATATTAACTATTTTATTAATTATTTTTAATTATTAAATTAAAATAGAAATTTAACGACTTCATTAGTCCAAACAAAGTAATAATAACCATGGCCAAAGAATTAATGGCCGTCTGTCTTTTATATAAATCTGGGATCCAATATTAACAGAATAACAGAGTAGAAATTAAATTGCTGATCGTATCGCTTGTAATTGGGACGTGCAACATGCAAAAGTGGGATTATATGAAAAGAACAGAGTCCCCGCAGTTACTATTATTATATATTCAGGATTAACTTTCATGTTTTAAAAGATGAGTAAGAAAAATACAACCCATTTTTCTACTGAAGCCCTGCGATGTGCTCCGTCCGGGAAGCTGCAACGTAGTCCATCAGGAGTCCCACACCGACCTTTTCACCGTGCGCTTCAGTTGCAAGCTGTGAGGGACCACCAAAGCCAACCATCACCACCAATAAAACTGCAGTCGAAGCCAAAATAGGCCAAAAGTAGGTCAAAACATCCACCATACGAGGGTCTGCATACCCTAAAACCCAATAATCAATGAAGCTACGATTGCTATGGAAATCGGTTGCCTGTATTGATTGAGTTTTTTGGGATATCCATGGTGTAAGAGCAGGTCCGAGGTGCCCAACCTCGGACGTACGACAGTAATTCCGTTACAACCGGAGTGAAGAGTAAATCCAGAGCTTCACGCTCTAACAGCTACACAGCAATTATGATGGACGTTCTTGCATCTAAATATATCTCAATCTCCCGGTCCCGAAATAACTGTCTGGAGATACATATCAAATCCCGGATATCTTGCTTGGCTCAATCTCCCGGTCCCGAAATAACTGCCTGGAGATATACATCGGATCCCGAATATCTTGCTTGGCATGCCACGTGGGTTCTTCATCGGAACATATAAATACCCCTCAAAGGCCACGCAAAAAGGTAATTGAAACCAACCCTAAGCTCCTTGTTTCTCCACCCTAAAGGTAGCCCCGATTATTGCTGACTTAGGTATCGGAGTGTCTACCCCGAGGACCCACCTCGGGGCTTTGCAGGTCGATCCGGAGTGCATACGTGGACTGAAGAAGGACATCTGCTTTGGTGCAATTACATTTGGCGCCGTCTATGGGAACTCGAACTAAAAGGTCCCTTGTTGCTCTTATCATGGTTAAAACTAGGTCGGTCCGAGGTGGAAACTCATCTCAGCCTCTTGGACGAGGTCAGATCCCCAGCAACCTTCCACCCCATCCCCCACCTCCAATCCCGAACATATTCCCTCATGTTGACCATGCAGAAGGAGGGGACGAAAATCAGCCACACAATTCGGCTCACAACTCAGCCTCTACTGCTAACCAAGACGTAGTTGCAACTCAGCTCGCTGCCATGCAACAGCAGTTTGGTGTTTTTCAGCTAGTGCTGGCTCAGTTATTAGCCCGGAACAATCCTGGCGATCCACTTATCAACCTACTTAATCCTGCTCCACAGCCCCCAGCCCCACCACAAAACCCTGAACCAATTCAGCATGCTCCTACTGTTAGTGAATCTCAGGGCCAATCTCACATCGCACCAGTTCAGCAACCCCTTCATGATGATGTCACTCGACGTCTAGATAGCTTAGAGAAGCTAGTGGCCGAACAGCGAGGCGCCCCACCTCCACATCCTATTGCTGACTCTGTGCCCCACCCTCTCAACACCAATATTACACTGGAACCCTATCCCGCTAGCTTCATGCTGCGGGGTAACCAGGAGGTGGCTCGGCATTGCTATATCACCTCGGTAACACAACCAAAGAAAGGCAAAGATCAGATGCCGGACGCCATTCCCCACCAGGTTCATGACAATCAGCAAGTCATAGGTGTGGAGATAGTAGATAACCGACCGGAAGACGAAACCAGAGCTGCCCCAGTCGAAGATGTGGAAGAGGTACAGATTGATGACAGGGATCCAACCAGGAAAACACAAATAGGAACTCGGCTGAGCCCCGATGAAAGAACAGAGTTAATAGCCTTTCTCCGAGCCAACAAAGATGTTTTTGCATGGACCTCAGCAGACATGCCGGGAATCCACACTTCGGTTTCTCAACATAAACTCAGCACCAATCCACTCAAGAAACCGGTAGCCCAGAAGCGGCGCCTCTTTAGGGGAGAGAGGTTACAGGTCATTAAAGAAGAAGTTGAGAAACTCCTACAAGCTGGCTTTGTCAGAAGGGTCGATTACTGTGAGTGGATCGCCAATCCTGTGTTGGTGAAGAAAGCAAATGGCAAATGGCAGATCTGCATCGACTACACAAATCTTAACCAAGCCTGCCCCAAGGACTGCTATCCGATGCCAAACATTGACAAGCTGGTTGAGGCAGCTTCTGGAAACGAAAGATTAAGTCTCTTGGATGCATATTCGGGCTACCACCAGGTTCCAATGGCTCCTGAAGATAAAGAAAAAACCTCGTTCTATGCTGGCGATGAGATCTACTGCTATGTGATGATGCCCTTCGGCTTGAAGAACGCCGGTGCCACTTACTAGAAGATGGTTACCATCGTGTTCCGAGCTCAGATAGGCTGAAATCTGGAAGTTTATGTTGATGATATAGTGGTGAAGAGTTTGAAAGCTGAAGATCATTTAACCGACCTTGAGGAGACATTCAATAATCTCAGAAAGAACAGAATGAGGTTAAACCCAGCAAAGTGCATCTTCGGTGTGGAGTCGGGAAAATTTCTAGGCTTCATGGTATCCAGAAGGGGGATTGAGGTCAATCCAAAGAAGATCAGGGCAATTGTCGAGATGGAACCGCCGAAGTCAGTGAAAGATATACAGAGGTTGACTGGACGGGTAGCAGCCCTTCATCGGTTCATATCGAAGTCAGCAGATAAATGCCTGCCGTTCTTCAAGATTATGAGGTTAGCCACCCAGAAGGATGAATCAGGTAAACAGAAGAAGTTTGAGTGGACTCAAGAATGCCAAGTCGCATTCGACGAGCTGAAGTCTTATCTTAGCTTACCACCTCTGCTGACTAAAGCCAAAGATGGAGAAATCCTTTATTTGTATCTGGGAATTTCGGATGAAGCCATTAGCTCAGTTCTGGTAAGAGAAGAAGCCAAACAACAGAAACCAATATATTATATCAGCAGTGTGCTGCATGGAGCCGAGCTGAGGTATCCTATAACTGAGAAAGCAGCTTTAGTAGTTGTCACTTCGACCAGGAAGTTGAGGCCATATTTCCAGTCACACCCAATCATTGCTCTTACAAATCAACCCCTTCGACAGATTCTGCAAAAGCCTGAGTGTTTTGGAAGGTTAATTAAGTGGGCAGTAGAACTGGGGGAATTTGAGATAACGTTTCAGTAGAGAACTGCAATTCGAGCTCAGGCACTGGCAGATTTTATTGTAGAGTGCACTCCATGTAATCCCATTCCTACTCAGGAGCTCAATGACTGGACCTTATATGTTGATAGGGCATCTAGTAGTAAAGGTTCAGGAGCCGATGCTCTCTTGATTGGCCCAGATGGATACCAAAGTGAGCATGCTCTGAAATTTAACTTCGACGCAACAAACAACATGGCTGAGTATGAAACCCTGCTACTTGGTCTGCAACTAGCATTGGAATTAAAACTCAGTGCGATCCAAGTATACAGTGACTCCCAGCTGGTGGTGAACCAAATTAACTCAATCTGTGAAGTCATTGATCCTGTGATGGTAAAATATGTAGCTCTGGTGGCCGAGCTGAAGTGCAAATTCCAGAAATTATGTCTGAGCAAAATCCCCCGAACTGAGAATGAACAGGCCGATTCACTCTCTAAGTTCGCCTCTGATAGTTCTTCACATTCCAGATCAGTTTTTGTGGAGATCCTAGATGAACCAAGCTTCATGAAGCCACGGGTGATGGAGATCAGCACGGACCCAGACTCACCGAGTTGGACTGACCCAATCCTCTCCTTCTTACGAGACGGGATAGTACTTGAGGGCAGGCAGGAGGCAATGAAGTTGAGATAGAAAGCATCTCGATACACACTTGTTGATGGGGTCCTCTATAAGCGATCTTTTTCTCTACCTCTTCTACGGTGCTTACGCCCCTACAAAGCGGAGTATGCACTTCGCAAAGTACATGAAGGTGTCTGCGGAAGTCACGTAGGTGCTCGAACTTTGGCTCATAAAGTCCTTAGACAGGGTTATTATTGGCCCAACATGTACAAGGATGCCACTTAGTTCGTACAGAGGTGTCAGAAATGTCAGTTCTTTGCGCACCTAACTCACCAGCCTGCAGAAGAGCTCACTACTCTGGTAGCACCATGGCCATTTGCTCAGTGGGAATTGGATCTTTTGGGTCCGTTCGTGAAAGGGGTTGGTGGTGTAACCCATCTGGTTGTTGGTGTCGATTATTTCACAAAATGGGTTGAAGCTCGGCCATTATCCAGTCTTACTTCCAAGAAGGTCGAAGACTTTGTTTTCAGCTCAATCATCTGCAGATATGGGATCCAGAATCAGATTGTGGCTGATAATGGAACTCAATTTAATTGCACCTCTTTTCGAGATTTCTATTCCAGCTACGGGATTAGACTGCAGTTCACCTCGGTTTACCATCCAGAGTCCAACGGCATGGTCGAATCTGTTAACAAATGCATCTTAGAAGGTATAAAGCCGAGATGAGAACAGCATAAGGCCAAATGGGCAGACGAGCTCAACAACGTCCTCTGGGCATACAGAACCACGAGCCAAACTGCCATAGGTATTACTCCAAACCTGGCCTACTTGATTAATTTTTATATATTTTTTACTTTTTCTACTACGGCTTTACCTTAGAGAAAATATGCATAATGCGTAAAGCACATTCTAAAGTTATAATTAACTGAATTAGGCGAAACACCTTATCATCTGGCCTTCGGAACCGAAGCAGTCATTCCTATCGAGATAGGAGTCCCGAGCTTCAGGGTTACCTATTTTGATGAAGGACGAAATGGACAGCTGCTTCGGGAGAACCTTGATCTGCTTGATGACGTTAGAGAAGAAGCACGACTTCGAACTCTAGTCTACAAGCAAAAGATAGCAAACTTCTACAACAAACGAGTTCGACCCCGAACATTCAACGTAGGAGACCTTGTTCTCAGGAAAGCTGGTCTAACGGGGTTCGAAACTCGATTCGGAAAGTTGGCACCAAATTGGGAAGGCCCCTACACTGTCGCCAAAATGCCGCACCCAGGTGCTTATATCCTACGGGACACTGAAGGCAAAAGGGTTCCCAGAGTCTGGAATGTCAATAATTTGAAGAAATTTTACCCTTAATGCATCTCTTTCCAGTAAACTTTGTCTCATTGTTATTCTATTTGCTCGATGTGTGTCTGAACTCAATTCATTTATCTCAATAATGAGTGTCACTTCACATTTGAAGTGATTCAGTTCTTTCTACCCTTCTATGCGTTGGAAGTGGGTTTCAATTATTTTCGAAGTTAGTTCATTATGACTTATTCTTTAGGGTAACGATTTGGTTAATCAGTTACATTTTACTTTTGAAGTGCTTTACTTCATCTTTTCTCATTTGTCTACTTGAGGTCCGCCTCATGCCTATCCAAAGCCAATTCCCTTGACTGTTCATTTTATGCTGTCCGAAGTCAAATCCTTACCCAAAGTGATTTGCTCGGAACAGAAAATAGCAAACAAATATTAAAATGTGCAAGTCACAAATAACTTCAAAAATTTCATAAATTTGTACAAGTCAATTACAAAATTGTCATCACTTACAAACACAAAAACAAAACAAAAAATCCTAGGCTAATCTGCTGAGGGAGGAGGCTGCTCCTCAGCAGGAGGAGGTGGTGGAGGTGGCTCGTCTTCAGCAGGCAGGGGTGGCACTTCTGCTTCAAGAGGGGCCAACGTCTGCACTTCGTCAGATGAGACTGGATGTACCTCAGGAGGCTGCACTCCGGCCAAGGCTGCCTGATCCTTAACTCCAGCACCTTGCTCTTCTTCTTCTTCTCCTTCTCCTTCTTCCTCCACTGCCACCAGCTCAGCATCAAAGTCTGGAGGAAAGATAGTGCGTCGCTTTGCGTCATGCTCCCACCTCAACTTGATCAGAGGTCGGAAGTCAGCGCAGAGACTCTCACCATCCTCCTCCACTCCATCTTCTTGTTCCCCAAAGGTGACCGTTGTCACGTCCACCTCTGGGTACTGGGCCTTCACCTTCTTTCTACAGTCGGTGAAGGCCAGGATGGCGGTTGGAAGCCGGTACAGTTTGAGGATGCCCTCGAAGGTACTGGAGTTGAGGAAGTTACCGATGTGCCCCTCCATCCCGTTATGCACCAACAGCTCCACGTTCTTCTCAGCTCCATCGCCCCTTTCTTCAGGCTCTCGATATATTTGTCTTGAGCTTCGAGCTTCTCTTCGCAGATTTTCCTCTTACGCTCCTCAAGAGAGAGTTTCGTGCTCAAGACACTGTTGTCGCTCTGGAGCTCGGTCACTGTTGGTGTCACCTCATCCAGCCTCCTCTGAATCTGCTGGTTTTTCTTCTGCAGCTCCCCTTTTTCCTTCTGCAGCTCCTCCTTCTCTTTTTGCAAGGCCTCACATTGCCTCTGCAAGCTGGCGTGATCTCTCACGCTCTCTACGTACTCCTACGCTAGAGCATTTGTCCAGCTTGCACTCTGCAATGTAATCAGAAGTCAAACCTCAGATGCAGAAGTTAAAAACCTCAAAAACAAAACAGGAATAAAGTCCAACTCTTTCGCTTACCTCCAAGGCGTGTCTCACAACAGTAGCTCCTAGCCGGCCCACCGCCTCATCCCTCGCCCACATCCTATCCACCTTAGGAAGAGTAGCGTTAAGGAAGTGCTTCGCCCCAGTCGTGTTTGCCGCCTCAAACAAACTCTTCTGGTACAAGTGAGGAGGGATGAGCTCCTCGCTCCTGCCAGGGCCTCGCACCTCGGCCTCTTCCCTCTCCCTGACTTCAGGATCCATTTCAGGAGCAAAAAGGCAAGGCACAAACTCAGCCACCTCATCCCCCCTCACCTCTGGTTCAGCTACCTTCCTCTTCTTTCTCTGAAGTGGTGCCACCTCCTCACTCACCTCCTCACTATTCTCCCCTGCAGGCTCTAGCCTCTGCTGTATCTCTAGCACTCGAGCAGAAGTGCTGGGCAGGCGCTCTTTCTCTGGCACCCCTCTGTATGCCGCAGCTGAAGTCTTTGACTTCTTCCTCGGCCTCTTGGGGATAACCAGCCCTCCAGCAGCATTGACAAATTCGTCCATCTCAGCTGCAGAGCAACAACAAGTGTTAAAACACAATAACTGAAAATTCACGTAAGTTACAAAAAGCAGAAACCAACAAACCTTTGCTCAATGAGCTTGGCCCATAGAGCTCAGCAACCTCTATCGCCTTAGCACTGGTGAGGTACAAGATATCCACTACATCTCCTTTTTCCCTCACCAGCTTTTCTACCTCCTCCACCTCATCCTCATTTAACTTATAGTTGTTCTGCTTGGTTTTCTTAGCCTTCCAAGCAGACAACTGTTCTACTTCGGTATCCCTCCTACTCCACTCGGTGTCATCCACAAAGAAGAATTTTTCTTTCCATCCTTTGATGGATGATGGTCCAGCAGAGAATAAACTCCTATTCCCTTTACTGGACGACCGAGGGCCGAAGTAGTACCACCCCTTCTTCCCCCTACCCCCCAGCCTTTATTATAAAAAAATGCTTAAACATGTTTATCGTAGGTACCCAACCCCCCGAACTCTGCAGTATACAAGAAAGCCTATTATTACCCTTATGGCATTTGGGGTTAATTGGGTTATTCCTATACTGTAATCTAATAATAGCCCAACTAATAATTCTGGAATGGGAAACCTAAGCCCCGCTATCAAATAATGGACATATAGGGGCATCCAATGGTCCCGAGGCACTGAGCATGCCCTCTCATTCACCCCGGC